ATAATTTAAAAAGAGCTCAGCAATGGTTTCTAATGTAAAACTGCCACAAGGGATTAACAGAATATACAATCAAGTTCATACTCCTGTGGGACCCTAAATTCAAATTCTGGCTCTGCCACTAACTTCATCTGTGAATTTACTTTACCATAGGCAGGTCATGCGGTCATGTTTCCTGTGAGGAGCCATGATGAAACTTGGGGACAACAGCAGTCACATTATCGCCTGTTCTCCCTGGTTTTGGAGATAACATAAGCTTGCATAATACCTTCTGATTTCCTATTTGCTAAAGGTTTATAAATCTGTAGTAAACAGGAAATCATCAATGTGGTGTGTAAGCCCTGGGGAGTGAGTCAGGAGACCTAAACCTAATCCAATTTTAGCCCCTATTTAGTTGGCCATCTCTGGCTGGACTGGTAACCTCTCTGGATGTTTCGTCGTCTGTAAGGTTGAGAGAGGTAGAATAGGGAATCTGAATTTTATTTTACATTATTGATATCAAAGGTTTTTAAGCTAAAATATTTACAATGATCTTAGAGAAGTTAGCATTTCTAGCTTCTAAGATAAATTTCCAGGTTCTCTTAAGTAAAACCGATTCAGTGCAATATTTTAATACAGATACTGGATTTTCTGTATATGCCCTGACCTAATGTATATTTTTCATGCACAGCTACTATAGAAAGTAAAATATTTTGAAGGATAAAGATCGTTTTCTTGGGCCTCCCCGGTGGCGCAGCGGTTGAGCGCTGGGTTGCGAAGCTGCAGCTGCCCGCAGCCTCTGCAGCGCCCGGTTGAATCCCCAGCTGGATCCCCGGCTGCTCCCCGGCCACCAGAGGAGGGTCCCACATGGCGCGCAGACCTCTCCTGCCGCCCGCTGCTCCCCTCAGCAGTGTACTTTGGTCCTTCTGCCTGCTCTGCTCCCCGCTCTGGCTCTGGTGAATTCTCTCACCCTCCCGTGCTTCTGACTGTACCCAGTGCATGTATAAACAAAACAAACAAATAAAATAAATAAATAAGACATGCCTCTATATAAAAAAAAAGATAGTTTTCTTAAGGTGCTGTTTGAAGTTTGCATGTACATATTTCATAATTATTTGAAATACAGTTCAAATGACGTAGAAATGCAATGTATTTAAGTTTAGATATCGACATATCATTTACTGTCTTTCTAATTTTGATAGGCATTTCCTATATCATTATGTATATCCTATAGCACACAAAAATATGCATTCTGTTCTGTTCCTGAGTGTTTTTACTTTGAAGTCTACTTAGCCTATTTGGCATTGATATAATAATAAAACTAATAATAGCTTCTCTTTGGTACCTGCTAGAGGTCTACTGTACTAATTTACTGAGTGCTGGCAGCTACTCTATGAAATAAGGACTTTAATTATCTCCATTTCACGCATGCTAAAATTAAGGCATTGAGAGGGTAAGTAATTTACCTAAGGTCATGTAGTTAGATTGGGATTTGAATCCAGACACAGAACCCAGAACCCTAATCCATTAGGCAAAGTTGCCTCTCACATGTTACCCATACCTGCCACAAAAGATGCCACTTAATGAAGAGAAAATAAATGGGATGAGGTCCAGTAGAAAATTAAATAATGAGTAAAACATAAGGATTTGCAGATAGTAATTTTATTACAAATGTTCTTGCCAAGTCTGGGGAGTCAAACGGTTTCATGAACACAAAGCGGGTTTAGCCAATCCAAACTTTGGATCCACTAGAAGTAAAAAGAAGCCAAACCTGAAAGGAACGCTTGGACCTGCGCCAGGAGGAGGGGGGCTGACACAATGAGGGTAACCGAAGACTGGGGCAGGAGCTCCCCCTGATCGCCACACTCGGGGCGGCGGGGGGGGGGGGGGCCGGAGGCAACGCAGAACCCCAGAACCCCAGTGGGCAAGTGACTGCCTCTGCTGGCCAGTGGGCCAGGAGTCCGGTCCCCTCAGAAGGTGCAGGCTGCGGCTGGGAGAACCAGGGAACTCTCTCCACAGCTTCCAGGCCCGCGGCTAGATGGGGGAGGGTGGACACAGACCGACTGGCCTCCGCCAGATTCCGGGATAGAAAAGTGAGGCGAGCAGAGATTTTCTCTTTAGCACTCTCCTCCTGGCGCTGCAATCGCGTTCACTCTTTCACTCCGTCCCCCGCGTGTGGCGTGGGAGCAGCACTTGCTCCCCGGGGCTTCCTCTCGCCGGCGCCGCGAGCATCCAGCCGACTGTTGGGGTCGCTGGCGGGCCCTGGACACTCGCCTGGGTTTTCCTGGGATGCGGGCGAGTCCCGAAGGTTCGCAACCCTTGTTTTCCACGCGTTTCCTCCCCCACGGTCCTCCCTTCTCCCGGTTTTCCCAGAGGCTGGGTGGGCTATCGCGGAGTAGACTCCAAAATACCCTCTCTCTCCTTCCCACTCCCCGCAAAGCAAAAACGCGGCGAAACACAGACTTCCCACGCTCACGCCCACGCGATCTCCGCGCGCTGCCTCTCCCAAGGCCGCTCTCCAGTCCGTTCTCACAAAGTTGGGGGGAAGGAGAAAGCCCCTCTTGCTGCTCCCCGCAAAGCTGCCCTCCCCGCCCCCGCTCCTTCCTGGTGCGCCTCCTTTCCCTGGGTCCTCGCCCGCCCACTCCCACCTTCCAGTCTCCGCGGCCCGGGCGCCCAGACTCGGTACAACTTCCCGCGCGCAGCTCCGCGAGTGTGGAAAAGTCAGCCAACCGTCCGGAGCTGTTCAAGAAAAATCCCCGCTGCAACCGCATCTTAAACTCCTTGGCACCGGCTAAGGGTGGGGGGCAGTTCTGTCCATTCGGTTTTCGAGAGCATAAATGCCGACGCTAGCCAGCCGCTTCAGGATTCGCGAGCGGGAGCCCCTTTCCAGGCCCCGCTCCTGGGGTGTCTCCCAGTTGCGCTTCTCCTAGAGGGAGATTCGGCAATTCAGGGAGTGCCTCCTCTTCCTTCCCACCTGCGCTCAAACTGCCCGCCTCCGGCGCCTGGTAGCTTTTTCCACCTTCCCCCTATTCAGTGGAATGCTGACGTTTCCACCAGCCTGGAGTTTCCCAAATACACTTCGGTATCAATATGTATTTTAGATTTTAAGGACATGGCTCCTGCGCCTGCCACCTACTCACTGACCCCCGGCCACTGAGGTGAAATCGTGCGGACGCCAAGGCGCACCCGGTAGAAATCAATCCTGGTGGATGGACGCACCCCCCCCCCCCCCGCCCCAACACAGACACACTCTAAACCCAAACGTACCCCAGATGCTAACTGACGGGTTTGGACTCGCGGAGTGGGCGACCGACCCACACCCCCTCCCACCACAGCAGGGACTACGACAACCCCAGGTCTTTCTTGACTATCGTGGGCGCCCCGCTGGTCTAGGGCCACTGCCCCTCCCGAGGTCTCAGGAGGAGTCCCAGAGGGAGAAGGGGGTATGGAGGAAACGGGGTACTCACGATTCCACGGTCCACCCGGCGAGCCGGGGTGGCAGCTCCAGCCAGCTAGTCTCCGTCAGCCATGCGCATGCGTCCCCGTGCGCCTTATTTTTGTAATAATTCCAAGCGCGGTCCTTACTATGCCTGCGATTGCTCTCCCCGCGTTCCCCTTCTTCTGGCTCTCCGCCTTTCTTCTCGCCCCGTTCTTTCCCCTTTTCCCACCCTTTGCTCTGCCTCCTCCCCGCCCCCTCAATTGCCTCTCCGGGCCGGGCAAACCCAGTTCTCGCCTCCCTCTGGCGGCCGGGCTCTCCACTGCGGCGCGGGCCGGGGGCAGGTGTCTCTCCAGGCCCCGCGCGGGACACGGTCTGCGCTCGGACCAGAGCCGGCTGCTCTCGCCCGGGATGGGGAAGTACGGAGAGTGCCGGCGCGAGGTCGAGCGAGCGCGGAGGGCGTGGGCAAAACCTCCCTCTGCCACCGCTTGGCTACCGCTCGCGGGAGTGGAGGGAGACTCCACCCTTCGGGAATGCGTGCTCGGACCTTGTGAATGAAGGGAGCAGAGTGGGGTGTGAGTGTGCGCGCGTGAGTGCGTGTGTGTGTGTGTGTGTGCGTGCGCGCGTGTGTGTGTGTGTGCGCGCCGCGGTTGCGCCGTGGGCGCAGAGGGTGCTAGTCCCTGGAGAATCTAAGAATTGCCCCGCCTCTGGAGGGCAGCCTCCTACCTTGTCCCTCGCTTCAGGGTGGTTCTGGGCGCTCTGCCCCCTCCTCACCCGGTGCACCCTCCGCCCGCGGTTAACCCTCAGTGGAAAGAGACTCCTTCCCATCTCCTGGCCCCATCTGGTTGGGGTGGGGGGATGCTGGAGCGCAGCTAAGCCCTACTTTGGACCCCGCTGAGAACCTCCGCAACTGCCCCCGGCCCCCAAGGGATTCTCGAATCCGGGGGCAAGAAGGGGGACCCGAAGGGTAGAGGAGAAACCCCCGTCCAGCTCCGCAGGCACCGCGTGCCGCTGTCCTTACAGCCCCGGTGCACCCTCGGGGCGCGTCTCGGTAGGACCTCGGGGCCTTGCGGTTGAGCTCGCAGGGCTAAACTGAAGCTGAAAGCTGACCTGACAAAAATAACATCACGTCATTTCCTCTTTTCCCTCCAGAGCCCGCAGAAGCCGAGAGGGCAAAGGCGTGGGAGCGCGAGGAGGGGGCGGAGGCGCTTGTGGAGGAGGCAGGAAGACACGGAGGAGAGCCAGCAGAGGGGAACTAGAGTTTGGGAAGCAGTCTCCACCAGGGATAGCACCCCTCCCCCACCTCTAGATTGCACTGACCCCCGTAAAGGAAATGGTCCAGGAATTCCAGCTTCGAGGGTCCCGGGGAGATCGGGGTGTCAAGAAGAGTCACCTATGCCCTTTCCTCGCGACCGACCGTGCTGAACTCTGTCTCAGGCCACCCGTTCGCACCCTTACCTGTCGGGGTTCCTGCTGGTCCCTTGAGGAGAGGGTCAGTCGGGTTTAGGAAGGAGATGAGTGTGCTGGTGAGGGTGGTGGGTGATGAAGTGTGGAGGGGGTGGGGCGTACTCGAAACAATGGTACTCACCAGCATGTTCGCGGGTGATCTCTGCCCTGTACTGGCGTCCTCTCCCCTGGTCAGGCGTCCCCCTTGGGGTCCTCTGGGCAGTGCCAGAGCTGCTACTAGTAGGAGCCCAACTGATGGCTGGGCAGGAAGCAGGAGGGAGAACTCCGGGCACAGCTGGGAACACCCAGGAGGGGGTCGGTGGAGAAGTTGAGAGAAGGACCGCGTGAAGCCAGAGAATGTGTTAGAAAGAAGGCTGAGCAGTTTTAGGGCAGCTGGCGAATCTGGGAGCTGTGCAGCGCCTGTGGAGGGAGGGCCAAGGAAGAGGGAGGAAGAGAAACAAAACCAGCACACCCTTACTATTGGGTTCATTTACACTTTGAAGAAAACTTGCATCTAGTGCCATTTACAACAGTTTTTTGAGGCATTACTTTTGGGGTGCCAGAGAAGGTTGACGAGAGCAAAAAGAAAGGCCTTTGGTTAGATCCTCAACCCTTCCCACCTCTTTTCCCACCCTTTCTTTCTCTTTCCCTCACTTCCTGTCCGCCCTAGCCATCCCCTCCTCAAAGTGTGGATCAACAGGAGCTTGTTAGAAATGCAGAATCTCAGACTCTATCCTGACTATTAGCATCAGAATCTGAATGTTAACATTTCCAGGGGCCTTGCTTGCAAGTTAAGATAGAGTGTCTAGCAGGATCTGTGTTCACATATCTTGGTTCTTTACAATTAGGATAAAAATCTCATAGTTTACTTTTGCAACTCTTGTTCTTCCTCTCCCTCCTGACATCTTTACTTCTCCCGCCTCCCAAATTGGGAGCTCTACCTGCCAGAGGAACATAGATTGGTCTTAGTGTTTAGCAGCTTATGGGAATCTTGGATTGTGGTAGAAGATTGATGTATTCCAGACTCATGCCAGGGAGGGGGTGGCAAGGGAGGGGACTTTATTTGTGCTGGGTGGTGTGGGGTGGGGGACAATTGCTGGGGCGGATCCTTACGTGTACACTGCAGTCTCCCTTTCCACATTATATGGGATTCTGCGGAACGCAAGTCTTTCCACTTGTTGCACAGGAAATCTAAGCAGCCAGCGTGGAGGTAAATCATTATTTTATTGGAAAGTTGAAGGGAACATTAATTGAGAAACCAGAAACCCAGGGTTCTATGTTCAGCCTTTCAACTAACTTGCTGGCTCACCTTGGAAGTCTCTTTATTCTCTGAATGTATCTCCTTTATTATAAAGCAAAGTGATTAAACTTACTGACCTTTTAGGGTTACATGCCTTGTTCAGGCTTTCATGTTTGAGAAACTGAGGGAGCTTGAGAAATTCAAACTTAACCATTTTGAGAAACTCTCAAACTTCTCGCTCCCTTAACATTTAGCATAATTACGAACCGGAACCTAACTCAGCCAATCCAAACAGGCCCCTCAAGAAAAACCAAAGGACAATTTAACCTGCTTTTGAAAAACAAGATTGGTGGCAGCCAAGAAAAATGGAGGTGGAGGCGGGAAGCAGCTAATAAAAGTGACAGCGGGTTGAAGCGCAGGAGGGGGCGAGGCGCGCTGGGTGGGGCGCGGGTCCCCAGGGCGCGGCGACCGCTCTCCAGGGTCCTGAAGGAGGGAGATGCCGCGGGCATCCTCGTGTGCTTGGCGCAATTCCCCAACTTAGCAGTCGCCAGGCCCATCATGTTTTCTTTCTGCAGTGAAAGTCTTGTGGGAAGCGATTGTTGGAAGGGAGGGAGGGAGGAAACCTAGCAACCCATTCTCATTCATGAGGCCCTTTCTGGGAAGCCACGGAGAGCGTTGGCTGATTTGTCTTACGGTCGTTTGTATGCGTTCCGGGAGAGAGTGGAGCTCCGTTTGCATTTCCAAGTAAGTTCACATTGTTTCACTCCCCCTCATTACCTTTTCCTGGAGAATGGGGTCATTCTCCCAGTATTTTCACTCTCCCTTTCAGAGGCATGTCTCCTCTCCCTTAAACCCCCAACGACCCCCTCTCCCTCACACCCCCAACGACCCCTTCTCCCTCAGCCCCCCCCCGCCCCGCCCCCCGCCCGCTTTCAGGCACAGTGCATCTACTTTAGGTGTTGGAGTTTGAAGCCCAGGAGGCTTCTGGAGAGGCTCCAACAGCTGGCTCAAGGGGGTGGGTGGAATAAGCTCTTTGGAAAACTCACAGAGCCTACTTTGGTGCCCAGGATTAGTCTCTACAGGGAGAATAGGGGACGGGCCCCTGTGGTTGGGGTTGTGGTTGGGGGCTCATCAGGCGCCCAGATAGCTTGGGTGCGGCTGATCTGCTGGATCTGGACAGGTCACAGCTACTCTGGGAAACACCTGCCTGAGACAGCGCAATAACTTGTGGTAGCGACTACCTTCAGCATTGCACCACAGGAACCTCAGGGGCCATATGGCCAGCATAGAAGAAAACAATCATATGTTAAGGAAGCCAAAAGATAACTGGCTTGGTCACGAGTGATCCAAAGCTTTACTAAACCCAACCTAGGCCTTCCTGACCAGCTTTTGTGCAGGCATTTGAACAAAGCAGGGGTGGGGGTGGGGCTGAAAGTGAGAGCTGGATGTACTTCTTCCATGCACACCCGCTCTTAGGTCCCAGGATTTGCCACTCTAGTTAATATTTTCAGATGGTTTTGTGAGAATATGTAAACCTGTAATCTGATTCTTCTCTCTTCTCTTTCCCCAGCCTTTCTTCCAAAGTCACTTGCATGCCCCTTTCCCTGCCACGCTTCATTAAGCATTTTGCTTCGGTCCCGTGCTTCAAGACAGAGATGCTTGTGAGGAAAAGAGTGGAAATGTTCAGCCAGAATAAAAGTCCCCAGTTCAGTCCCAGAAACACAAAGCCAGTGCTCATTTGTTCCTCCTGAGATTTTCACTGTTTGCCCTTTCTTAAGATTGACTTTCCCCTCCAATCAATAGCCTGTTGCCCCATCCTGGTTCTTACCTGGTGGTTCTGCAATCACATCGAGTCTAGTGAGGGACCAAAAGGCTTCTCTAGGTCACCTTGATGTGAAAGAAGTTATGGATAGGGTGCTGTAATCCACATTTTTTTGACCTACTGGCAAAGACAGAAAAAAAGAAGTATCTATGTAATCACAAAATTCAACTTGAGGAGAGGCTGTCAGCCAGTGATGTTGATCAATCCAGATTCTAGATGACACTCTGAGGATTTCAATAACATTAGCCACAAAGTGGAATCATCTTGGAATGCATATTCTTGAAAGCACTACTTCTTGGGGCTCCAGAAGACTTAGAGAATACTTCATTCTGATCCAATATCCACTTCCTTTATTTTTTTCCAACTTCCTTTATTAATCATGTTGGCTACTGAACCATGCAGAGGAGAAAATTGCTACACCCCAAATCTACATGAAGGCCCAAAGCCTTTAAAAAGCAAATTGAAAAATTTCATTTACCCCTAAAATAGTACAATTTCATGAAGGACTATACATAGCAGAATTAAACTCCCTTTTAACAAAAAGTTTTGATAGACTATAGGATTTAAATTACAGTTAGAACAGAGACTAAAATTAGATTTAATTTCATGAAATGACCTTCATCTTTATCTTGAGCTTCATTTTTTAAATTCTATTTTGCTGTGTGCTAACATTTGCATTTTAAGTTATTTTGGAGAAGTAGTTCTTTCCCCTTGGATTTAAGAATCAAATTGACAGTGATTGAAAGTTATAATCATAACTTTCTAGCTAGTGCTATCAAACTTACAAATTGGAAAATAAGAATGAGTAAGCTAATTGGACCATGGATATTAGAGTCATAGGTTAATATTAGTTTGAGGTCAACCAAACTATTAATGACATTCTTCAAATAAGGCTCACTTAGACTCTAATGTTCTTAGTGAAAGTGTAACTGTTCAAAAGAATGTATCTTCTGCTCATAATTAGTTCTGACTTCATCTGTTCTTTCAATAACTTTTGAAATATATTTATGCTTATGTGGAGGTGTCATAGGAGGTGCTGTACAATGGAGGTGTCATAAGGAGATGCTATCCTCAATGATAATGAGGAAGGTGGGGATAGGAATGGATGCAGAGTGGACCAGAAATTAGGACTTCTCAGGTATCATGTATTTCTGGGGAAGGAAAACACCCCTAGACTCTGTTCTGCTCTTGCAGAAATAAAAGGGTCCTCTATTTTTCACTGGCATTGTTAACTAAGTGAGAGGTTAAGGACAGGAGTGGGTCTTTATTTAAATATATGCTTTATTTGAATTAGACACAAAACTGAACTCTTGATTTTTTTTCCTCTCAATATTTTCTCCTGCAGTCTTTGCCATTTCAGTAAATGAAAATTTGATTGTTTTTGTTCAAGTCAAAAGCATTGGGCATATCCCTGGCTCCTCTTTCTTTCCAACTTTTTAGTCAGATCCAGTGTCTTCTCATATTCACAATTATCACTATTTCAGGATAAATTCAGTCTCCCCCAAAATCTTATGTGGAAATCCTAAGTACTTCAGAATATGAACTTATTTGGAAATAATGTTGTAGAAAACAAATTAAGATGAGGTCAATGCTACAGTAAGGTGGGCCCTGACTCCAGTATGACTGGAATTCCTATAAAAAGGAGTAATTTGAACACAGACGTGCACACAGTGAGACTGCTATGTGAAAATGAAGGCAGACACTAGGTGATGCATGTAAAATGTAAGGAATACCAAAATTGCGATAAGCTAGGAAGAAGCATGGAACAGATTCTCTCTCAGAAAGAATTTACCCACAGGACTGAAACATGATAACCTTGTCTGAATTTCCAGTCTGCCTGGCCTGGAAGAGGGCTGCAGATTTCAGATTAAGACTGAAATATCAATTCTTACCTAAATTTCTCATCTGCTGGTTTGACCTACAGATTTCGGAATTGCCAGCCTCTGCGTTCACTTGAGTTAGTTCCTTTAACTTTTTCTACATACACACACACAAAGAAGATATATATCCATAGAAATATCTGTCTATCTATCTATCTATCTATCTATCTATCTATCTATCTATCTATCTATCTATCTATCTATGTATCTATCTATCTTCATAAAAGAGGATGTATAGAAAGATACATAGAGAAAAGTGGCCGGAGTGGGAA